TTTTTAGTAGCGATTCATGAATTGGGCAGTATCCCATTAGCATTATTCCACACTTTCTGCTTGATTTGTATTAGCTTACTGGTTTATTATAAACTATACTGCAAAGGATACAGAAGAAGGAGATGCATAAGGCAAGCTCTGGAGGAGGGTTCTCAGAGCTTTTATGCTCTCCCTGGGCATGCCACTTTTCAGCATACGCATTCCAGAGATGTTTATTGAAATGATGAGTGAACATGCCACACATAGTATTACATAGGGAGTAACTACACTTCCCTTTTCCTCCAATAAAAGATAATGATTTTGACATAGCCTCATCTCAAGAATCTTTTTTTTTTTTTTTGAGATGGAGCTTCACTCTTGTCACCCAGGCTGGAGTGTAATGGCACAATCTTAGCTCACTGCAACTTCCGCCTCCCCCGGGTTCAAGTGATTGCCTTGTCTCAGCCTCCCGAGTAGCTGGGATTATAGGTGTCCACCACCATGCCTGGTTAATTTTTGTATTTAGTAGAGATGGGGTTTTATCATTGTTGGCCAGGCTGGTCTTGAACTCCTGACCTCAGGTGACCCACCTGCCTCGGCCTCCCAGAGTGCTGGAATTACAGGCATCAGCCACCACACCCAGCCTAAGAATCTTATTCAAGCAAAACCTTTCAAAATTCAAAGGGTGAGGTGCTATTTTTATGTTTGGGAATTATTTGCTATTCTAAATTATCTGAGCTATTTGTATATACTTGGCTAAATCAGTAGAGGCAAGTCTTTGGTTTCTGAGGTCATCACTGCTCTATCCACTTGTTTATCATTTTTGTTCATCTTCTTTTCTCCTTTCCCTCTCATTCTTTCTTCATCTCTTATTTATTCATTAAAAAATATTCTCTTAATACTTTTTCTGCTGAAATTAAGTAATTTTCCATAGATTTGTGAAAAAGTGTTTTCAGTTTTATTAGGATAGTTAAATCAAAGGCACTGTGGGAGGTTGAATAATGGCCCTCACAAAGATGTCCATGTCTTAATCTCTGGAATTTGTGCTTGTTACCTTAAATGTTAGAGGGAACTTTGTAGATGTGATGAAGTTAAATATTTTGTGATGGGGCAGTTATCCTAGATTATGTAGCTAGGCATGTTATAATCACAAGGATCCTTATAAAAGTGAAGCAAGAGATTAGAGAGGAGAAGGCAAAGTAACAACAGAAGCAGAGATTGGAATGGTGTGGGCCACAAGTCAAGGAATGCTGGCAGTCTCTAAAAGCTGGAAGAAACAAGGAATGGATTCCCTTGGTACATCCAGAAGGATCCAGCCCTGCCAAAGCCTTGATTTTAGCCCCCTGCAGCAGGAGACCAATACAGTCACCATAACTTAGAGTATATATGTCTGTTTCTTCTTGTGGGTTACAGTTCTGCCGAGGGTAGAAACTGTGTCTTCATCTCAATTATAGAACCTAATAGGATGCCATAACGTATTCGGTGCTCAAAAATATATTCCACACTGCAGTGAAATTAATAGTAAGTGCAAATGATTTATATTGTTAGATTCTTAGCCAGGTGATCTGATTATAGATGTTTCAGAAAGGTAGAGAGTTGGGTAACATTTTCATTTATTTATTTATTCATTCATTCATTCGTTCATTCATTCATTCATTTTTTGAGACAGGCTCTTGTTCTGTCACCCAGGCTGGAGTACAGTGGCACAATCTTGGGTCACTACAACCTCTGCCTCCTGGTTGAAGCAGTTCTGTTGCAGCCTCCCAGGTGGTGGCTATGCTGGGACTACAGACACATTACACCATGCCTGGCTAATTTTTTATTTTATTTATTTTTAGTGAAAATGGAGTTTCACCTTTTTGATTAGGCTGCTCTTAAACTCCTGGCCTCAAATGATGTGCACATCTCAGCCTCCCAGAGTGCTTGGATTACAGTCATGAGTCACTGCGCCTGGCTGTGGTAGCATTTTTAGAATTGTTTTTGTTTCTCATTTAGAATTTCAAAAAATATATATGGGCTAAAATTATTTATGTGACTGTATAATCTACTTAGGATACATTTATTTAATTCCTGATTTTTGCTTAATTTTATTATAGGTAGATGCTTCTTTATCTTTTCTGGATGGTTTTGTGGCTGAAGGACTCAGTCAGGGTGCAGCGCCTTACAAACCTCACCACCAACGCCAGGAGGAAAACCTTTCTCAGGAAAAAGGTAATTTTTCATGGATTTATGATAAGCTAGAGTGTAGGGAGGTAATTTTTTGATATTATAATCATGTAAGTAAATAAATAAAGATATTTATTTTCTATTATTCCTCTTTAATGATTTACTTGTGATTTGTTTGCCCTGACTAGGTTTTCAGATACCCAGAGGAAAAAATAAAGTTAGCTTAGAGGTATTCCTAAAGACATAGGCTCTCTATACACAAATACCTAAGATACTTTAGTCATACTGGAATATTTTTGTTTTTGAGACAAGAGTCTTGCGCTGTCACCCAGGCTGCAGTGCCATGAAGCGATCTGGGCCCACTGCAACCTTGGCCTTTCAGGCTCAAGCTATTCTTGTGCCTCAGCCTCCCAAGTGGCTGGAATTACAGGCGAGTGCCACCACACCCAGCTAATTTTTGTATTTTTAGTAGAGATGGAGTTTCACCCTGTTTGCCAGTCTGTTTTCAAACTTCTGGCCTCAAGTGATCTGCCTGGTTTGGCCTCTCAAAGTGCTGGGATTACAGGCGTGAGCCACCGTGCCTGGCTATGAATTTTGAAGAACTGTTTTTTTTTTGTGGGGGCGTAATATATTTATTAACATAATAATGATCTTTATGGGAAACTTTTTTCTTTTTTTTAAATTTAAACTTCTAAGTTCGGGGGTACAAGAGCAGGGTTTTTATATAGTAACATTGTGTCATGGGGGTTTGTTGTACAGCTTATTTCATCACCCAGGTATTAAGCTTAGCACCCATTAGGTGGCTGTGAGCAGTCTAATATTTCTTAAGTATATTAAAATTCTTCGTTCAACAAAATACCTGATGATTCAGGTTAGAAACAGCTAATAAAGGAAAGAGTAACTTTGTACTTAAGAAATGCAGCCCAGCTGGGCACGGTGGTTCATGCCTGTAATCCCAGCACTTTGGGAGGCTGAGGCGGGCAGATCACCTGAGGTTAGGAGTTTGAGACCAGCCTGACCATTATGGTGAAACCTCGTCTTGAAAAAATAATAAAATAATAAAATTAAATTAAAAAAAGAAATGCAGCCTGTTAGGAAAATACTTCTGACATGATTTTGGTAAAGGGGAAACCTTGAGTTACTTGGATGGTAGAAAGGAAGTATGCATGTGAATAAAGGGAGATCAGTTAATATATTATCTGTTTATGAGTTCACAATGTCAATACTCAAAAGTTGTATGCTGAAAGGTTTTTTTTTCTATTTGCCTTTTAATGATTTTTTGAGTACTTATTTTCCAGTCTCTGTGCTAGACATATATAGTTAAGACAACAACTAAACTGTTGATCCTAGAATGATACCAAAAATTAGGAACATTACTTGATGTTCTCTTTTTTCAGAAGCATTCGCTCTTTTTTGTCTTTTTTTAACTTTAAAATTTTTTTATTATTTTATTGTGATTAAGAACCTTTCCTGGAGGTGTCCCCTCTTAACAAATTTTTAAGTGTATAATATATTATGATACTATAGATAAAATGTTGTATAGCAGATCTCTAGCACTTACTCATCTTGTTTAACTAAAACTTCATGCCCATTGATTGGTAAATCCCCATTTCTGTCTCCCCTTAGCCTCTGTCCACCATTCCATTCCTCAATTCTATGAATTTGACCTTTTAGGTACCTCATAAAAGTGGACCCATGCAATATTTTTCTGTACCTTATCTCACTTAGCATAATATCCCTAAGCTTTATCCATGTTGTCATATATTGCAGAATTTTCTTCATTTTCAAGGCTTAATAGTATTCCATTGTATATGTATATGACATCTTTATCCATTCACTTACTGATGAGCGTTTAAGTTGTTTTCACATCTTGGCTATTGTGAATACTGCTGCAATGAACATGGGAGTGATAATATCTCTTTTGGATCCTGATTTCAACTATTTGGGATAAATACCCACTCAGAAGTGAGACTGTTGGAGCATATAGTAGTTGTATTTTTATTTATTTATTTAGAGACAGAGTCTTGCTCTGTCCCCCAGGCTGGAGTGCAGTGGTGTGATCTCAGCTCACTGAAACCTCTGCCTCCCGCATTCAAGCAATTCTTCTGCCTCAGCCTCCTGGGTGGCTGGGAGTACAAGCATGAGCCACTATGCCCGGCTAATTTTTGTATTTTTAGTAGAGATGGGGTTTCGCCATGTTGACCAGGCTGGTCTCAAACTCCTCACCTCAGGTAATCCACCAGTCTTGGCCTCCTAAAGTGCTAGGATTACAGTTGTGAGCCACTGTGCTTGGCTATTTTTTTTTTTTTTTTTTGACAGGGTCTCATTCTGTTACCTAGGCCGGAGTGCAGTGGAATGATCATAGTTCACTGTAGCCTTGAACTCTTGGGCTCAAGTGATCCTACTGTCTTAGCCTCCTGAGCATCTAGGATTACAAGTACATGCTACCATGCCTGGTTAACTTTTAATTTTTTGTAGAGACAGAGTCTCCCTAATGCTGCCCAGGCTGGTCTCAAACTCTTGAGCTCAAGAGATCCTCCTCCCTTTACATTGCAAAGCACTGGGATTATAGGCATGAGCTACCGGGCATTGCCTGTATTTTTATTTTTTTGAGGAACCTCCGTACTGCTTTCCACAGTGGCTGCACCATTTTGCATTCCCACCAACAATGGGTAAGGGTTCTAACTTTTTCATAGCCTTGTTGACACATGTTATGTTTTCTTTTCTTTGATAATTACCATCCTGACAGGTACAAGGTGATGCCTTATTATGGTTTTGGTTTGTATTTTCTTGCTAATGGTGACATTGAGCATTTTTTCAAATATGTGTTGGCCATGTGTATGTCTTATTTGGAGAAACGTTTATTCAAGTTATTGCCTATTTTTTAATCAGGTTATTGGTTGTTGTTTTTTTTTAAACTATTGAGTCATAGGATTAACATATTTTGGAGGTTAACCCTTACCAGATATGTGATTTGCAAATATTTTCTCCCATCCCATACGTTGCCTTTTCGTGTTTTCTTTGCTGTGACGAAGTTTTTTAATTTGATGTATTGCCATTTGTTTTTGTTATTGTTACCTGTACTTTTGGTGTCATATCCATGAAATCATTGTAAAGACCAGTGTCATAAAGCAGCTTTTCCCTTATGTTTCTTTCTATGAGTTTTACAGTTTTGGGTCTTACAGTTAAGTCCTGAATTCATTTTGAGTGAATTTTTATGTATGGTGTAAGATAAAGCTTCCATTTTATTCTTCTGCATGTGCATATTTGGTTTTCCCAATGCTGTTTGTTGAGAAGACTATCGTTTCTCTGTTGCATATTCTTGGTGTCCTTGTTCAAAATCAGTTGAACATAAATGCTTGGGTTTATTTCCGGACCCTCTGTTCTGTCTCTGTGTCTGTCTTTATGCCAGTAGTATGCTGTTTTGATTATTGTAGGTTTGTAATGTATTTTGAAATCAGTAAGTGCGATGCCTTCAGTTTTGTTCATTATTCTCAAGATTAATTTGGGTATTCATGGTCTTTAGTGGTTCTTCATTGATGAATTCTACCAAACGCTTAATGAATTAATATTGGGGCTGGGCATAGTGGCTCATGCCTGTGGTCCCAGCAATTTGGGAGGCAATGGCAGGAGGATCACTTGAAGCCAGGAGTTTGAGACCAGCCTGAACCCCATCTCTTAAAAAAAAAAAAGAGAGAGAGAGAGAATGTCAATCCTTGTCAACCTCTTCCAAAAATTTGAAGAGGAGAGAATATTTCTAAACTTATTTTATGAGACCAGCATTACCCTGATAGCAAAGCCAGAGAGAGCCACCACAAAAAAAAAAGAAAACTGCAGGCCAATATCCGTGATGAATAAAGGCAAAATACTAGGGAACTGAACTCAATAAAAGGATCATACACCATGATCAAGTGGGATTTATTCCAGGGATCCAAGGATGGTTCAACATCTGAAAATAAATTAATGTGACATCACATTAACAGAGTAAAGGATAAAAACCATACGATTCTCAATAAAAGTAGAAAAAGTGTTTGACAAAATTGAAGTCCCTTTCATGATTTAAAAAAAAAACTTGATAACTAAGAATAGAAGGCAGTATCTCAATATAATAAATGCCATATATGATAATCTCACAGCTAACATTATAACATGGTGTGCTGAAAAATCAAAAACTTTTCCTCTGAGATCAGGAGAAAAGCCAGAATGCCCACTCATCTATTTTGTAGTCAACACAGTACGGGAAATACTAGCCAGAGCAATTAAGCAAGAGAAAGAAGAAAGGTATTCAGATTGGAAAGGAAAATTGTTCCTCTTTGCAGATAATACGGTTTTCTTTATAGAAAACCTAAATTAGATTCCATCAAAAAACTGTTAGAAGTAATAAGCAAATTCTGGAAAGTTGCAGGATGCAAAGTCAACATGCAAAAATCAGTTGCATTTTTATGCACTAAAAGCAAACTGTTTGCCAAGGATATTAGGAAGACAGCCCAATTTATGATAGCGCCAAAAGGAGCGAAATACCTAATAATAAACTTAAGCAGGTGAGAAAGTTCTGTTTAATGAAAACCACTCAACATTAATTAAAGAAATCAAACAAGACACAAATAAATGGAAACCACATCATGTGTTCATGGATTGGAAGGTGCATGTATTCCATGCAATCCCTTTCTTCTAAGGGTTTTTATATGTTATTTATCAAAGTGATAACTAATGGACTATAAAAATTAAACTCTCTTTCAAAGTGTAATCAGTTTCCTTTCATTAACTTTTTATATATTAGTAGAATATATTGAGGGAAAAATTAAACTTTTGAATTATAATTGCCCAACCTGTGGCTGTACTGCATATAAAGGCCTTATGACATTCAGGACATAGAGTGAAAATCTGAGTTTCCACAGTGGGAAGTTTCCTTATGTTCAAGTATCTGGGGGCCACCACTTGCCATTACTGAAGTCAAGGGTAAGCTAGGGAAAGAGAGATAGAATAGGGAGACTGTTTCCTGGCACTGCCTATTTTCTTTCTTAAAATAAGTTAAATTGCTGACC